CTGTTTAGTGTTTTTAAGTTGTCTGGGTGTCCCATCACTAATCAGGGCCCCCCCAGTCATTTCATGTAACATTGTATTGTACTTTAATATAAATAATAGTATTGTCGACTGGGTTAGTTCAGTTCGACATTCACAGCATCTCTTGGTCTTCTCCTCTCTTCTACTGCTTCAGCTACAACACTTCAGCTTTCAAGATGGACAGTTCCCTGACTAATTGGATCTCATCATCTGGTTACTGGAAAATGGTAGATGATAACTAAATGAAACAATCATGTCAAGATTCTAATGCTGAAGCTCCATATGAAGATTCACTTTTATAATGTGATAACGAGTCAAAAGACTATAGGAGAATGTGTTAGAGTTCAAGGCCACTCCTATAGAAATTCAATGAAATTACCAAGGTAGCATTAAAGGGCTCGCTCCAGTTGTTACATTTATCAAAATATGCAATCTATGCCTTGTGCATGTTTAACATGATCTATGTAGTATTGTAATCAAGACAATAGCCTCAGAGATATGAAGAGAAGGGCAAAAATGATTTATGCTTTAAATACTAAAATGCTTAATAACTTTCACTAACCACCTTCAGGTTCTCATGGTTTCATATTCCCCTTTTTTTAAGACCTCTGAAACTAGAAATCTTTCATCCAAAGCAATTTGTAGGGCCACATGTAATTCCCATGACAGAATTGTCATGTAAGCAGAGGCAGAAAAATCTTTGCCCTTAATCCAGTTGCTCTGAAGTGGTAGTTGGCCTTATAGTCTCTGATACAAATTCCTATGGAACATGATTGTGTTCATTACTAGTACCAATTTTTACTGAAGAATAATATATATTTTCATCAGATTAATGTTTCACTGTGCATAAAGATGATCCCTATATTGGCATAAGAGAAATTTTTAAATGAGGTGGCAACAACTTTGTAATAAACCCAAAAGAGATTGTATTAAATGTAATGTGTCTGCATGCATGTGTCTGAGAGAGAGAGATGATTCTCCTTACCATGAAAAGGGAGTGACTGCTGTCACTGAAATTACGAAGTTTGCAATTTGGCAGTGCATGGTAAAGCCTTTCAGCCTCCTTCCCACTTGGTAGCAATTGATCCCTTCCACTAAAACATAAATAATAATGTCAATGTGATTATTTTATTTTGAAAAGAAATCACAAACCTTTACATAGTAAATTACATCAAGCAATATACATTTTAATCACAAACCTTTACCGAAAGAAAAAGATGCATTGCCTGTTCATTAAAATAGATGCTTTCGATAATAGAGCAAGTACCACATAAATACAAATCAAGAATATCAAGATGGAAACAAAAATAAATGTAAACACTAAAAATAATTACTTTGACCCATATTCACATCCTAAATAAATATTTTGTTCTAAAAATATAATTTTGCTATCCAAAAGAAATTTAATGTAGGATTTTAAAATAGATCCCAAGGATTTTTTACAAAGATATAAGTTTGAGAGCTCAACCATGAAGCTTGAGTTATAAAATCCTTAACCACAGGTTTCTGCTTGAAGAGTATCACAGGGACTGGGTACAAAGTTCATGACTTCATATTGTTGAGAATATGTATTGTGGGAAAGGGTATTTCAGTCATTTTATCTTATTTGTATTTGGGCGCTCATTCAAGGGCTTTTATGTAAATTTAATCTTTTAATATAAAAGGTTCTTGTGGTGTGTAAAAAGTAACTAATCCCTTTCTCTCAAAATCCTCTTCTTCTTCCTCCCTCACTTCCTCATCTTACAACTTGGTATTAGAGCACTTCTGGGACCTTGGATAAGTTCCTTCTGCTGACTCCCAAACCCAGGAAGACCTATTGATGCCAGACCACCACTGGATGAAGTCAACAGTCTGTACAAGTGATGACAGAAACCCTTGAAATTGATACAGTTTTGTGTAACTTGATTTTTGGGAGATTTTTGTATGATTCTCACCTTCGTTGAAAGTTCCATGATTTTTCCCAGATTTTTCAATAAAAAATCACAGAAAAATACAGGTTTGATGTTTGGGATTTTCCCTTTGCATCTGAGATTGTTTCTTGCTTGAGACCTGTTTCCCTCAGGTAGTTTTGCTTTTTTGGAGTAATGGGAAATGATTTCACAATTTTTTGATCCTGGTTAGTTTTGAGGAGATTTTATTCTCTCCCTATATTGTTGTCAGTTGGTGTTTTGGCCTCCTATTGACTCTCAACCAAGTATTGACCTGTTTTGGTGGGTCTAGTGTGTGCCAGTTGGTTGTTGGAGTGTTGTAGGGTTGTCAAGAAGCTAGTCCAAGAGAAATGGAGTTGTCTAAGGAAGTACAGACTGTTTTTGGATGCTTCCGAGTAATGTTGATGCTTCTAGTGGTATGATAACCGTTGTAAAACTTGATGGGACCAACTTTCTAGATTGGTCCCAATCAGCGAAGCTTACCATAGGAGGAAGAGATAAGCAAGGATTCATTACGGGCAAGGAAGTGAAGCCAAAAACTGATGACAACAAATTTTCCGAACAGACGCATGTTATGCATGGTTAATAGATGTTAGTGGAAACAAAATCAGAAAATAGTGCCTCACATTAGGCAAGCAGGAATGATGGATCTTATTATGGGTTTGGGAATCTCTGTAACTATACTCTTTGGTTTGTATTCACTAACTAAACAAAAATAGTCAGGATGTGTCACAGTAGAAGATCTTATATGACACCAGAGAGGGTAAAGCTTTGGATGCATGGATAAAACCTTGTTCACTACATAGCAAGATCAGAAAAACCTTGAAACCTGGGGCAGAGTCTTGAGGAACTCTTGTATTCAGGGAGAGTTGCCTTTTTTAAATCATAAATGCTCTCTTTGCTTCTGTGTGAACCCTCCCCTTTTGGCTAGGTTACCTTATTTTTCTTTTCTACAGTCTTTTCTGTTGCAAAATTTAGTGCTACCAATTAAGAAAATGGTTCAGGTACAGCTGTCATTATGTTGTTGGCAATGTCAACAAACTAAGAAAATGATTATCATTATGGTCTTTTGAGGAATGCTTACAAGTGGCCACTGGCCTTCAGAACACAAAAGACAAAATGAAAAGTATAGTTTTCAGAATGAGTCTCAATACCACAGTTCATATCTTGGTTAAGCAATGCTTTGCCACATGATTACTGATTTGGGAAAAGCTTACCAAATTGTGCACTTCCCAAAAGAAAAACAACAACAAGAATGACAACAGTAGCAGCAACTTTTCCAAAATATATCATATATTTAGTTTGCCCAATACAACATACAAAACAGACAACCAGAAATGCTAGAGCAAAGACCTGGCAAGAATCAGTGTTTGTGCTTTAACAGCATGGAGACGAGAATTAGCAAAAGAAGATGCTGATCTAAGCATCTCTAGCTTCCAGAGAAGTGATTCTATAGGTAAAATATCGCCCAATACCTGTGGGTTTAACAATGTAATTGCTTAATACGATATACAAAAACAACTACATGCAGGTTGAAATATAATAAACTACTGATATAATTATTAGGATTGGTGGAACCACAAGAAAAGTGAAACATGAACTAAAGCAAAGATAAATAGTCAAGAAGCATCAAGGAGAAAGCAATTATCTCTACATGAATTCTTACAGAAGGCTATTACCCAATGTTGGTCCCAGATATCTGGGGCCTTGAGAGGGGCAGGCAAGTTCAGATGACATATTAATTAAGAAAATGAAAAAAAAATGGGGAACAAAAATAAGGCCCATCGATCTCTTCAAATTTGCAACAGGCTTCTGTTTTGGTATATGTTCATATGAACCTGGTTAGAAACTTACAATTCATCTTGATGAGATGCCTATAGAGGTTTTCTGTTGGATGAATTGATAAATATTTCCAGAGGCATTTGTCATATACAGAAAAACCCATTCTCTTAAGCCAAAAGCCGGTTAGCTTTTATTAGTTCACTTGTGTATTTAGTTTCAGGAGTTGACTCTTACATGGAGGGAAGGTAGAAGTGCAGCAAGAGTTTCTGATAGTTCTCCAACCATTTGTTGAAGAGGAACCCCTTTTTCTACACTAGCCATAGCCATCCTCAAGGGATTACCTAAAAAGTAGTGTTAGAATTGCTGATATTGAGTGGGAAAATCACTTAATGTTGCAACAAGTGCATAATAGATAATTTTAAACCATACCTGGAAACATTAACAGCATAAAAAGTTATCCAAGGACTTACAATTTGACAGAAAACATGGTTCTTTATAGAATACAATGGTGGGATAGGACTCATGTAGCTGGCCCCAAATAAGTTAGGGTTAAGGTTGAGCTGAGTAGAGTTCAGTTGTAACTTCATCTAATCCTTCTAATTTTTGAGGTTTCCCTTAGAGGGATCATTTACCAATACATAGAAGTATTCTGATCTGATGCATCCCTTAATCCATCTGCACCATTTTTTTCCATACCCTCTTAGGTGTAAGATATGAAAAAGAAAATTTGATCACCCCTTTCATAAGCTTTCCCCAAGTTAAGTTTGCAAATTACCCCCAGAATATTTCTTCTCCTATACTCTTCAACATCTTCATTGCCACCTATAATTTAGTTTTTGTAGATCAATACATTCCCTTAATGCATCCCATTTTACTATAGCAAGTATACTTTTTTAAAACCAACATGACACATCATCAAACTTATCCCCACAAAAATTACATAAAAGATCTCAATTCCAAGGTTTTCCAGTAAGACACTAAAACGGTGAGTAAAATGTCAGGGACTCTACAAGAGCAGAAATATTGGTGATTCTATAACGACTAAGGTTAATTAAGAGACTAACCATAAGAAGATTATAGATGGAAAGAGATTCTAAGGTGGTGACAGGGTGGCTAAAAAGGAACAGCTAAGGAACATAGAAGTACAGGCACAATTCAAGGGAAATAAACATCTTGTGAGGGAACTGAAAGTATCAGTCAAATGGGTCCCTATAGATGCAAATAGCTTAGCCGATGCATTTGCAAGACAAGGGGTAAACTAGGAACAGCTGTTTTGGAGGACTATAAGTGAAGCTTGTATCTAAATATGCTATAGAAAATCAAAGATAGGGGCTGGGCAGTATTCTATCCTAACAAACATGTAAATTATTGTACATACTTTTTCAGTTATAATTAATGAAGATTTACTATTATCCATAAAAAAAAAAGCCAGTAAAATGTACATGCTGAGTTAGAGAACAATCAGGATTTCAGGAGTGAGAACTGCATACATGTGCCTATAGATTAAATCCAACTAGCCATAATACTGTTATCTTTAGACTTTTCTAAGTCTATGTAAGATAGTGGGAATCAGCCAATCAGAGCCCTTGAAAATAAAACTCCCAGGTGAAGCCCATGGAATGCTAATTCTGGATATTCAACTTATATAAGGAACTACACTACAAATATAATTTCCAGATAATGCATTTGCTTCACTATTTTTGTGAAATTTGTTGCCATGACAGTCCTTAGTTAAGTATTGTCTATTAATGATGACTATAATTTGCTCCAATCATTTAATGATGACCATCTAAATTCAAAATTGCAAGAGAAAGGAAAGTAAATAATGGATAACAAGATCTGCCTACAAAAATCTGAACGGGAGCTACCTAAGATAAACAGATAGGGACATGAATGACAAACCTGCGAACAAACTTAGTATATAAGGGAGGTTAACATGGAGTTGTCCAGGCATGACTTCCAAGAATGGAACTAGAAGCTGGAGTTGTGACCTGCTGAATGATGTAGCTGCCAAAGAACATTAAAAGAAGTATGAATAGTGTGTAACTATTACAATGGTTCATCTGTTAAACAATGAAATTAAGATTTTCTTTTGGTTTATTTTAGGAAAATATTAAGTTATTAATCTCATGCATGTATAGGCATCCTTGACAACTATGGTTTTGGTACTTGAATTTAATTCAACATCCATTAAGAAAGATGGGGAGAAAATGGAATGGAATAAAACTACATTGAAACATTCTTTCTGAACTGAAAACATTTTTTTTTTTGATCAATAACACTTTCATTAACTCATCAATAGAATATTTACAGTAGGAAGACAAACACGCTTATCTTCCAAGAGCAACAAAGAACCTCAAGAAAAGGAAAAAAAGAAAGAAAGAAAACACACTATAGTTACAGCTTAGCCCAAAACAGTGA